AATCAAAACAAGTTGCTTGAACTCAACACTCTTTTGAGCTTTTTTACAATGTACCATTGTATGTCATACATCATTTAAATAGACGTTTAAACTACGTGACGGATTATACGATTGTTTTTTTCTTTTGACAAATATACGATTTAACATCACAATGTATGCAATACATCGGTGCATCACACAATTTTCGGGAAATTTCTGGTCCAGCCAAACAGAGTCGATGAAAGTAAAAGGGAAATCAACGGACTAAATCTTATGATCAACGGTTAAATTCTAACACTGTTTCCCGCGGGAAACTTTCTGGCGGGCGGGTGGGATCCCCGAATTAACGTGCGCATCCATGCCGGCCAGAGCAACAGAGAAAGAGGAGAGAGAAAGAAGAGAGAGATGGTAGTTTGTTTGTCCGTACTCTCTCGGTCTGGCTGTCACACACACGGCAACCAACATGCTAATTGGCTAAAAAAATATCCCACCGGCTATTATTACCTTCCCAACCTCCCTCCCTCTCTCTCCTCCCCTTCTCCTTCATAATCTGCCTCTCTCCCTCCTCTCGTCAATCCTCCCAAAACCGTAAAAGCGCAGCCGATCTCGCTTCATTTCCGGCACCTCCGTCGCGACAATGAGAGAGATCCTGCACATCCAGGGAGGCCAATGCGGCAACCAGATCGGCTCCAAGTTCTGGGAGGTCATCTGCGACGAGCACGGCGTTGACCCTACCGGAAGGTACCGCGGAGACGCCGGCTCCGATCTCCAGCTCGAGAGGATCAACGTCTACTACAATGAGGCCTCCGGCGGTAGGTACGTCCCCCGCGCCGTCCTCATGGATCTTGAGCCCGGTACCATGGACAGCATCCGATCCGGTCCCTTCGGCCAGATCTTCCGCCCTGACAACTTCGTCTTCGGCCAGTCCGGCGCCGGCAACAATTGGGCGAAAGGACACTATACCGAAGGTGCTGAGTTGATCGATTCCGTTCTCGATGTTGTTCGCAAGGAGGCCGAGAATTGTGATTGCCTTCAAGGTAGTTTTTCTTTTAATTTCGACATGAATTATAAAATGAAATGCTTCTGAATTGGATTTGAATTTCTGCTATATTGAATATATTGTTGCTTGATTGATTATTCAGTTGGTTTCTGTTTTCTGTAGCTCTATGAGTTCGTCGTTAAAGATTGATAATCTGACTTCAAAATGCTTCTGAATCGGAATTGATTTTCTGCGAGATTATAAACATTGATGCTTGAAATTTCAGTTGATTACAGTTTTCATTAGCTATTTGAATGAGTTGTTAATTACATATTTAACATTACCTAATTACAAAGCTAGGATTGTCAGATCCTTCATCCAAAACTTCAATCGAATTCCAAAATTATATAGTTGCTCAGTAAACTTGATTACAATTTCAACCACTTGACCGTGGCAGTCAATGTAATTTTTATTCCGCATTGCTTATCCTTGGCAGAGGATCTAAGATAAAACGATTCTAATTTCTAATCTTGTCCTGTACTTTTTGTTTCTTTGTTGATCTGATATATTCATCGTCAGCTTCCCAGCATTGCCATGTGGGCAACTGTACTGTGTCTCGCACATATTATATTATTTTTTATAAAAACGATATTCTTTATGCTAAATTTATCTAAAACTTCTATTATAATTTAATATCAAATTAAGTTGTTCATTGTATGGTTTAATCGAATTTTCTCTAGTATAAAAATAACGATCTACTATGGACAAATAAAAACTTTTATTATAATTTTTCATTTTCCATTTATATAATTTGTCTTTATACGGCTGACTTGCTTGTGGTCCCCCCAGTTTTTTGGTCTTCAGTGGATAAACAGATCAAGAAAGTGGTCTTTGATGTTTGATCTGTCTTTTTGCTAATTTACATGTAAATTAGCAAATCTGATTGCTTTCTTTGAATTTGATATGATTGTGATTTCCCAACCGTCAATATATCACCACACCGACATTGTATCGGTTCTTTAAGCAAATTAACTGTTGCAGTAAATCTGAGATGGCAAGAAGAAACTTTCTTAGCCCTTTTCTGTAACATGCTTAATTGTTTGAGGATTACTGATTTGTATTTACAGTGGAACATTTAGCTTATATTCTAAGATGGCAGTAAGAGCTTTTTTCAACCATTTTTAGTTTGGCTTATAGGGCCTCGTATGATTGTATAACTGATTTGTTAGTGTGAGGATGTGTTCGTATTGGATCCTTGTTCCTGTAAAAACTTGAAATCTCACTTACCCATTTCCATTTTTGTTATCGATATGCTGATTGACATCGTCTTTTTGTACGGGCCAGGTTTTCAGGTGTGCCACTCTCTTGGAGGAGGAACTGGTTCTGGAATGGGAACCCTTCTGATATCAAAGATTAGAGAGGAATACCCTGACAGGATGATGCTCACCTTCTCCGTTTTCCCTTCACCAAAGGTCTCAGACACCGTTGTGGAACCATACAATGCCACTCTTTCGGTGCACCAGCTGGTTGAGAACGCAGATGAATGCATGGTTCTTGATAACGAAGCACTTTATGACATTTGCTTCAGGACCCTAAAGCTCAGCACCCCAAGCTGTGAGTGACAATCTAATTCTTTGTACAATTATTATAGCACCGGTTCTAATTCTACTTAATTTTATCTCTGGTTTGCAGTTGGTGACCTGAACCATTTGATATCCGCAACCATGAGCGGTGTAACATGCTGCCTAAGGTTCCCTGGACAGTTGAACTCGGACCTCCGGAAGCTGGCCGTGAATCTCATTCCATTTCCACGTCTTCACTTCTTCATGGTCGGGTTTGCCCCTCTCACCTCTCGTGGATCTCAACAGTATATCTCCCTCACTGTGCCGGAGCTGACTCAGCAAATGTGGGATGCCAAGAACATGATGTGCGCCGCTGACCCTCGTCACGGACGTTACCTGACAGCCTCAGCTATGTTCAGGGGGAAGATGAGCACCAAAGAGGTGGACGAACAGATGATCAATGTGCAGAACAAGAACTCGTCCTACTTCGTTGAGTGGATCCCTCACAACGTGAAGTCAAGCGTGTGCGATATTCCTCCCAGGGGTTTGAAAATGGCATCTACCTTTGTTGGTAACTCTACATCAATCCAGGAGATGTTCAGGAGAGTGAGCGAGCAGTTCACAGCCATGTTCCGGCGCAAGGCCTTTTTGCATTGGTACACCGGTGAAGGCATGGACGAGATGGAGTTCACCGAAGCAGAGAGCAACATGAATGATTTGGTTGCGGAGTACCAGCAATACCAAGATGCAACCGTGGAGGATGAGGGCGAGTACGAGGAGGAAGGTGCCGAAGAGAATTACGAGGACTAGAACATGCCGGCAATCACAAATCAGGACCGGAAGAAAGAGATGTTTGACATGGAAGGGGTATCCTTTATTACTTGCTTGTCTACTTAAATGGTAAAATCTGTGTTTTTGGTTTTATCGTTTTTTTTTGTCTTTGCTTGTGGATTGTTGTCTCGGCTAATCACGCAAGATTATCACCTTGCTGGATTAAGTTACTGTTAGTAAATCACCTTGTAAGATGATATTGTGTGATTGTTCTTTTCCAAGTACGGAATAAAATTGTCATTTTCGCATCAGCTTCCAATCGTTGACTATTTTTTCCAAATTGCATTAAGTTTGGGATGCAACCATGGAAGTTCATAGATTTTTTGCAATGCCGAAACTCAATTTTGATCGCACCTTTTTCCGGATTGCATTAAGGTTGGGATTCAAACTCAATTTTCGCTCCACTTTGACGGGGATTCCGAGATTGATAGATAGAAATGGGCATAATTAGTTTCTTTAAAATAGATTGGTGATTTGTATAAAAAAAAAAACTAATGAAAATATCTTGAAAATTTTGAGTTTTAATGATAAGAACAAAATTTTAAGTTTTAATAATAAGAACAAAATAAATAGTACCAGTGTAAAAGTATGATTTTTGGTTAAAATGAACCTCAAACAAGTAAATTTGGGTTGAAAAACTCTTTAACAATTGGGGAATAAAAATTGTGAAACTCTAATTAATTAACCAATGGAATTTCAGATTTTTTCCCAACCCGAACGAATTTCAGATTATGCCGGTGGAATTTCAGGATAATACAAAAAAATTTCACGAAAATCTAATTGGTATTGTAAAAGAAAACAATTAAAAAAAAACCAAAGAAAAAGAAAAAAGGAGAAGGAAAACACAGATGATTTAGATGCATCAGAGTCATGGAAGTATGAGGTGCAACATCGCCTGCACAAATAAAATTGCAAGCTTCTCGTACCAGTTAATAATTCTCGTCACTTGCATCAAAATTTAATTCTATCTTGATTTACGAAATTATACACAAAAATACACACAATTATATATGAGAGAGAGAGAGAGAGAGAGAGAGAGAGAGAGAGAGATAATATAATAGTATTTGACTCTGCATATTTCCCAGCAGAGGAGGAGGAGGAGGCAGCTGAGGCCTTCTTATCTCGGAGAATAACTATTACTTATATAGGAACACAAGTAGGGTTTCATTCGGGTACGAGTGTACTCTTCGTCATCTACGGCCGAGATTCTCTTGCCAACTTAGAATTCCCATTGGGCCATCTTCCTTTTGGGCTATTTTCTCTGTAACGGCCCAAACTTAAGGCCTGCTCCATCTTGTTACTGTATGCGATAACTCTATCATTCTTCGGCATACGACATGATCCGTATAATGGAGCGTTTCGTGTAGCACCATCGATGCATACTTTTTAATTTTATTTGTTTGTTAAGATTAGCATCGGCTTGGTAAACTTTAACGCTACATAATTGATAAAGAGATTTATAGCTCAAGTGGTTAAAATTTAAAAGTATACAACATTAACACAGTAAAATGTTTATTACACACAAGCATAAGGAATAAAAAAGGCTCAAAATTACGTGCACCTTGTTTCGTGTTCAACTTCTGCTAAACGAACTTCCCTCAATCAAAACATATAGTGACTTATGCATCTTTTGTTACAAACAAAAATAGTTATCAAATGAATCGTAAATTGAACAATACATCAATCAAACACCAACACAAATGTAAATCCCAAAGACCAAAATTTCATTACAAGCTTCTCTTGTATTATAATATGGAATTATAGGTAACCAATTAGATACAATATGTCAATAATACTATTATATATGCTAAAACCGTGACAAAAAACTGTTACCTTAATAATTGCTAAAACCTCAACAAACCTTTTGTTTGGATAAAAATTACACCCCAAGTAAGTAAAAATTATTGGGGGTAAACAATGAAAAATAACATGAGCCAAAGCCACGTCATCTGGAATGGAAGCGAGGTTTCTTGACCCTGCAGATTTCGAGTCTCTTCTGCCTTGCCTCAGCTGCCCTTTTTCTAATCATATTCTTGTTAACCAAGCTAAGATCAAACGGCTGGGAGGAGTTCAACACGTTTGCATCCCTAAAACAAGGTTAATGTGACCACCGTGTGGGCCCGCATTGATCTCTCTTCTTTGAGTCTTAGCCGTCTGATCCATGATCAGCTGCTGCAGTTGACGTTGATAAAGAATCACACTGGGGGCATGAATTTGCATTATTGGCATTTGCACTTGATGAGGAAGTTGGTAAGGCTCTTGTTTTGGGGCCTCAGGAGCCGAAGTTACATATGTGAGTTGAGTCAGTTGGCTTAATTGCGCGGCTGGTTTCGAACTTGGATCCGTATCCACATGGGTCTCCTGTTCCTGTTTATGGCTAAATTTCGTTAGCTGTTTAAACTCCAAGTTAAGGCTATTCATCTTGTCAAAGAAACGCTTCACATTCTCAAGCTCGTGCTCAAATTATTAAAAAGCGAAATTACATAAATAAATTGAAAAAGAAAAAGGATAATCTGGCTAACGCCTAAATATGAGAAAAAGGCAGAGAAATTGCTGCAAAAGAACCAAAAACTAAAAAATTAGAAAAATACTCACTTGATATCGCCATTTTTCCTTCGAAGTCAATTCGTCCACAATTGCAATCCAGTCCTCTCTCTTCTGCAGAACCAAAATATATCAGAAAACAGTAAATAATAGTAAATAAATTAAAATATTTAATCCGTAAATTGAAAGAAAAAAAGGAGAGAGAACCCAGTTGTCAGAATAGCCAGATAGATAATCAAAACCCATATCAGAGAAACAAAGAAATACCCTTTTTTGACTAAAGAGTTTACTACTCAAGTGGTCAGGCTGCTTCTCGTCAGATTCACTGGGCTCGAAGCACAGCGGCGTATCAGGGCTGGAAGTCTCCTCCTTGACTGCATTAGGGACGGGGGGCGGCGGCGGAGCCTTGGCCGCCAAAGGCCGGCGAGCCAGAGAAGCCCAGAGTTGCAGTGAACACAAAAAATCAGGTCCAATCAGACGACGCAGAGTGGAAGCGCAGTCCGTCGTTCTTCAGGGCGAGTACAGATCTCTTTCCCTTGCATCCCCAGATGAGCTCGAGTGGAATTGGAAGCGGAGTCTCCAATTCGGAGATCATGTGAGGAAGATGAATCAGGATATTCGCCACCTCTATCTCGCCGTCGCTGGCGTTCGGAAAACAGGGAAGAGGAGGAGCCTTTGTTCCATTGTTAGTGTTTCTCTCTGTTCCATTGCCTTTCACTTTCTCTCTATACAATTGAAGATTTTGCAGCAATACTGCAGGCTTTCTGGCCAAAAGCACGTATATATATGCGTAGGAAGCAGGGCGGACGACGGCGGCTGCGGCGGCGTTGAAGGAAGCGAGAGAATTGGACGAGAGGGTTGACAGAGAAAGCAGAGAGAGTGAGTTGCTTGGAGGACGGGTATTTTTTCTGTGTGTTTTATATAGAACGCGAGAGAAAATAATCCTTGAGGAGGTAGGAGAGAGCGACACGTGTTGAATAGAAGGACACTGAGGCCGAGCCCCTAGGGTTTATAGTCTTTGTAATTTTTTATTAATTTTTAATAAGAACGTGTGAAGCACTGGAGTGAGGACTGAGGAGAGAGAGAGGGAGGAGAGAGAGAGAGTTTTCGTTCATCCTTTTGGTTTTTCTTACTTTCTGTTTTCCGGGTTAGTTATTTTGCTAAGAAGGAATATGCAAGAAAATTCCTAGTCAATTGAGGGTAGAATGTCTCGTAATCCACGTTGGACAACGTGTCGCGCGGCCACATGCACAGGATCTTTTTGTAATTTTGCATGAATAACACTCGACTATTCAAATAATGAGTAGAAATTTTTGTTCAAAATTACTCGTTTCGGATTCATAGAACTTCATATTTAAAATTAGATTTGTTCATATAATCAACTTTACAAAAATTAATTAAAATTAAGATCAACCACCATATAGTGGTCCAGTAGTTGAAAACGAATTCCAAGCCGTATTCCACACGACACGTCCTGAATTCGATTCCTAACGCGTGTGAATCACACGATACTGATTAGAGGAGATTGAAATGCCTTTGCGAGTGACATGGCGTTGGTGAATCAAATGATGATGACCAAGAGAAGGTTAAAATGCCTCTATAAGTCTTCTTATCACCCAGATAGATATGAATTGGTGTGGTAAAGCCACCAACTGGTTTTAGTCATCTGTTTTAAGCATTATAAACTGTCTTTGAATTTGCTACAATAAATTGGCAGTATAAAAGGTTCTTCTCCAATTGTGGACGAAAAGTTAAACTCGAAACCAATTTTGTTCACCTTCCTTCATGCAATGCGTCCTTAAGACTCACTACAATGAAAAGTTGATTACATCCAAATGCCGAATAATAGGCAATCAGAACAAATGCCCAAGGCTGTGATTGGTTTAACTAAGCTGCATGTTTCTTCCTCTTTGCTATTCTATTTCTACTGGCCACCATAAAGTCGTCATTCGAGCTGCTATCTTCAGTCTTCCGCTTCTTGGACTGCTTTGATGCGTCTTTGGAGACCAGTGTTGGCGGCTTCTTATTTGAAACTGCTGTGGGTGATGGTGTGTTCTTCTTAACAGTAACTGACTTTGTGCTCGTCTTTACAGAAGATTTCATTGGAGAATTGAGCTTTTGCAGCTAACTCGTCTTCTGCTTCTTCTCAAACACTTTCCTCTGCCTCTTGTTTGGGTAGCAAACCATGCTCCATCATCCTGAATTCACATTGAAAATTTGAAATCCATGCTTTTACGGAAGCAATCTAGGTATAATTATACTTGGTCGGTTTCTAGTTTCTATTTCTGAAGTTGTAGCACTGCGAATAATCAAAAGGGTGAGTGGACAAGACTCCCACCATTGCAGGATCTGGGAGGAATCTTACCCCCAGTTTGGGAAGAAGCTGCTCAAGCGCTTCACATTAGCAAATGGGAAGGAAATGAAGGAGGAGTGCCCTATTTACAGGCAAGGGAGGATAGGGTGGATGGTTAGGCTCATTCTACATGACCCAATGGCCAAGCTTTTCCATTACGAATCCGTCCTTTCAGGTTGCAAACAACCAATCTAAGTCATCCGCAACCTATAGATTGGAAACAAGCAAAACTGGTTCTAAAACCATGAATCTGGAATATGTATTTGACAAGTACAACCACCACTCAGACATCAACCAAAAAGGCAGGTTTCAAACTGTCAATTGCAAGCTATAACAAAACCTAAAGTGCCCTAATGCAGCATCCACCAAAACAAAGATTTATTGATTCCCATATATGCCAAACAATAAGGACATGGTTGAATGGCAGGCATACGGTATACGTGATCTAGCTGCAGAAAGCAATGATATGTTTCATTACTTGTATTCCAAGTTCACCAAATTGGGTACTTGATCAGACATGCTTTCTGATGCTTCAAAGTCAGCACTTCAGTGCATGCTGCAATGGCCAGGCAAGCAGCATAGCGGAGACTACATAACAAGCTATGACACTTAACACACTCCAAAACAAATTCTATTTCCTGATGGAATGAGAAGTATAAGGCAGCACAAACAGTATGCAGTAAACCCAGTAATAATTGTTAAAGCAAATCCAATTATCGGAACCCAACTCAGCGAGCAAAAAGAGTGCTACAATTAAAGAGATGGGGAAGCAAAGACTCACCAAAACTGCGCGATTTCGCTACTGAGAATTTGCTGGTGAAGCGACTCATAAAATTGCCTAAGTGGGTCCTTCTGAACTTCAAAATACAACAAAACAATCACCCAAAGAATTTCAAAGCAACATTTCTAAATCGAAATTAAAGAAATAAGAGATGAAAAAAAAAAAAAAAAAGGCAGTTGTTAGTGAACCTTCTCGGGAGGGTCCTTCTTCTGACCAGGTAAATCATACACCTTCTTCTCCCTTTTCTTCTTCTCCTCAGTCGCAGCCTCCGGAGCCTTCCTCTTCCTCCCCTTCTCCTCCTCCTCCTCCTCCTCCTCCTCGTCCATTTTTTTCACCTTGTTGTTCTTGATTTCCTTCATCCAAATAACCCGCATTCGTCAGTAAAACAGTAAAATTCAGTATTTCTCTCAAACAAAACCCAAATTTGAAAAATAAATAAATAAATAAAGAACCCTTTCGGGCCTCGAATCGAACTCTTTTTCGGCTTCAAACCCAATTCCTCGTCGCTCACGCCGCCGTTCTCCTCCTTCTTCACTCTGGGTTCTTGTTTGGGCTTCGCCTTCGTGGGCTTATCGGAATCTTGGTCCATCTTCACCTTAGCGGCTTCTCTGACCTCAGATCTCGCCATTCCATTCGCATTGCCATTGCTTTTTGTTGGTTGCTTCTTCTTGCGCTCCAACGCAATCAAACCCAAGCTCTTCTCATCGTCGTCGTCTTCTTCCGCTTTCACCTCCCTCTGCGGCTTCGCGGGCGTCGCGTCCCTTGGCGGCATCTCTCAAAATTTTCAGAGTGTGAGAAACAAAGGGTTTTGGAGGAAAAATCGCAGGAAAAAAATCGGAGGGAGTGAAAAGCGAGGCTGTGAATTTCGATATTCAAAAAAGGTCCAAAAAAATTCCACTCCTTTCGTGGGTTTTTCGCGGTTTGAAACGTTTCGGGAAACATTTACTGAAAGAGGAAAATCCGGCTTCTTAAGATAACGGGCCGTAGTATCCATTTAGCCCAACTTAACCTGGCCTAAATTAAGCCCAATAACTTAAGTCCAACAAGACCCAATAGGCCCAACTTTTTTTTTTTTTTAGGTCAAACGATATATTTTGTTAGATTAGGCATTAAATTAGGGAGCCGATGGGGTTCAAACTCATACCGTGGTGCAAAGGCAACACTCCTCTTTACCACTGTGTTAGAGAGCCACCTACAATAGGCCCAACTTTAGGCATAGCCGGTTTTCGTTAGGTGGAATTAGTGTGTGTTTCCGTGTGTTTATGAGCTCAAGTATCTCACACACATATATGTTAATCTTACTTATTTGATTTGATGATTAGAAATAAAAAAATAAAAAAAAATTATGTGATAGACTAATAGGCTAAAAAAATGTGTGACATTCAACTATTTTACATAAACAAGAAATTTTATTAAAAGCTCAAGTGCTTCTTGAAGGTGCTTTCTGAAAACATTATGCATGTATTTATACCAAAAAAACAATTTTACAAGCAAAAGTCACTTAGAAACGGTTACATCATGTCCAAACCTTCCCTGACCGTGAAGATTTGCAATCAACGAAGAAGCATATATTCTTTCTTTTATCCCTGTTTTATGTATGCATAAGTAATATTTTGGAAAATTAAACATTTTAGCATCAATATCCCCCCACCCCCACGACTCGGTGGGGTAAGTGTCCAAAAAAGATAGGGACGAACAAAGGTCGGTGAGACTCGGTTGGGGATTAGATTCTGCAACCGAGAATTTATGGCCAAGGCACAAAGGCGACACAACTCACGACTGCAAACCTCCTAATTGAGACCCCACCCCAAAACCCTAGAAATCATCAAAAACTAGCTTGCTTGGGGAAAAGTTAAGCTCCATTTCCCATACTACTCTTATATCCTCTTGCTGTCAACCCTGCAATGCCACGTTGCATCTCGAACCAGTGATACAATGTCACGTAGAAGAGGTAATACACGTAATATTATTGTATTATATTAGTTGGAAACATCCTACAGTGACTTGGCTTATATAATAACATCCTCGTCCTTCAGCTCAATCACACAAGAGAGAAAGGAAAACCTTTGCTAGAGAGAGAGATGGGCTGGTTATTGAGTGAGAGAAAAGGAAGGGGTGGATGGAGGAGAGCCTAGCCTCCGTCTCTGCGCCGCCGTCGTTTTTAGTGACTGCTAGTTGGCATCGTAGTTGCTTTATTAATATTTTCATCTTACACCAGCTACAAGTCGCAGATGGAGAGAACTCAATTCGGCTTCAACATATTTCTCTTGTTTGTGCCCTTGTTGTTGATCGTTGTTGCTAACTATTTGCTACAGATACGGGAACCTTCCAGCGAGGACAAAGGAAGAGGTGGCTGATAAGGCAGCTGAAGGTGGAGGAGCATCCCCATGGGGCGTGGCTTTGTTTCTTGGGCTGTTGCTGGTCTTGGTGTCTTGTCGGTCTTATCTGCAGTCCAGGTGACGGCCTCACTGGGGTTCTTATCATTAGTTAAGATTATGTAGGTTACCGCTTTGAGACTCCATGCATCATCATTGTGTAACAAAGCATTGTGCAGCAAGAGAGCTAGCCGGTTTCATCTTGTAAACAAATCCCTTTCTGAAATACAATTGTTTCACGTTTGAGCTTTCCATATATAGATGCCTAGAACCATGCTACAGGCCCAAATGCTAAAAACTGTCGAGATGCTTGACAAACACTTCTTCCCACTTTCCAGCCTAAAGAATAGACGCATAATTTACACAAAACCTATGAATCCTAAAACTAAAAAACTCCACATGAAACTACAGTGTGACAATCTAACCTGCCGGAAGCGATGCGGAGACAATCATCATGATCCGTTCTTCAGTTTGGGTACTTTAAATCTAGATGAGAACAACTTCGGAGTCTCAGAAATGGTTACACCATCATCTGCTTTTCTCTTCGAACTGCCGTTCCCCTGATCAACCAGAAACAAAACATCAAAGTTGTAATTTTAGTAAAAGATAAGGTCCTCTACTCCACAGTTTAGCATCGACGACACTACGAAAAAGCAGAAGAGAGAAATAATATTAGGAAGTACCTTTTTGGTCTCCTTTGTAGATTGAGTAAGTTGAGCAGCCGACAAATCTTTCTTCACAGTCACGTTAATTTTATCCTTAGCACTACTCTTGCCTCTAGCTCTTGTTGTGCAACGGTTCAAAACAGGAGTAGACGAAGTACTTGCTGCATTTCTTAACAAATCCAAGTCCTTTGAAAGTTTCGAAATTTCTTCCTTCAACTTGTTTGAATCGGTCTCCATCGTAGCAACTTTACTTGTTAATATTCCAATCTTGTCATCCTTTTCATTATTTGAGGACTGTAACTGCTCCATACTAGCAAGAAGAGTTTGTATCTTTGCATTCGCCTGCTCGAGTTCAGAATTCTTGCTCTTCAGTTTAATTTTGAAATCGTTTTCCATAAGGCCGTACTGATGCCACGCGAAGCTCTTTTCGGAAGCAAGCTTATCACATTGCTGCTTTAAGGTGGTGTAATTGTTGGAGTGCAGGTCAAACCATGCTTTGAAACCTTCTAACTCACTGTCCGAGTATTCTGCAAGTACAAAAACATCAAGAATAACATCACAAAAACAGTCCGAATATACACCCACATACAACAAGTACCTCATAACCTGACTAAAGTTTACCATCTATGGCTCAAAAATAAGAGGCCCGTACTAATTTGATAACATGGGATATTTTGACGCAAATATCATCGAAATCAAACAAATTCGAGGTGCTTATATAGACAATACAAACCCAATACATTGACCAGAAAAAAGGCAGATTAACTCAAATTGCTACTCAAATCGACATGGAACGCTATAAATACCAAACCCAAGTTTTCTTGTTCTTCGAAAAACAGAATTCTATCGAATCCAACATAATCTTCAGAAAATCAAGCTGATAAAGCAAGAACCTTTTTAGCATATACGAAAAGATCAACACTCACCTAACTTGAGTTTGGTGGTGTAAGCCTCTTGTTGCTTCATACTAAGCGCCCACCCTAACTTGGCCGCCTCAACGGAGCCTTCCATCTCTTTCAATTCCAAATTCACCTTCATCTACACACATAATTACAAGAAACCCACACAAAATTTCAGAAACCCCCCGAAAAATCGGATGCCAATACATGAAACCCTAATTTTACGAAATTGGAAAAATGGGGAAATTACCTGGCGGATTTGATCTCCCAAGAGATGAAATGCGGAGACCCACTTCTCTTCTTGCACTCTGACGCGATCTTCGAAGACTTTTCTGTCGGCGGTCATTGTCTCGAGCTTCGATTGCTGGGACCGCAGCAACTGCACCACAGCGTTGAATATGTTCTGCCAATTCTGGCGCTGAGAGGTGGAGTCCGGGCGTTCTTTGGTGCCCATTTGGAAAGAGAAATCGCAGAAGAAGAAAAAAAAGATCGGGTCTTTGGAGAGCGGAGTTTTGGGGAATAAGAAGAATGAGACCGTTGGAGAGAGAGCAGCAGTAACAGTGTAAAGAGTTGGGAGTTGTCAAAAGTTTCAACGGTCGAAAAAAATCACAAAAGGTCTCGTGTTTGATAGCGAAGCGGTGTATCAGATGAGAAGTGAGAGTGAGTTGGATTGGGCTGAGTTGGGTTGTATTTAAATAACTTGGGCCTTCACAGAGTTTTTATCACTTAGTACTATAGTTTAGTGATATTTTTTTGTAAGTGATAGATTTTAGATTTGGTTCTCACCAAATGCGAATTTGAACCACATTATTGCTAGCTCATTTTGAGACTTAGGCTACTCTCTCACCCCTTTAGTGTATAATATCATTTGCTCAAAAAAAAAATTCTGTTTTTATTTTATTCGATGCTGTTTTGGGCACTCTGAAAAGTCATTATTCACTCTTTATTTTTATTTTTTTTCAAAATAAAAATAAACTTATGAGCATAGTTAATATATTGAAGTATAATACTATCACAAACGTATTTTGTAAAAATGCTTTTGTTTTCCATACACGTTTTAATCATTCATTAAATTGCACGTTTTTATAACTCTAAAATACTATACACATACTTAGGTTTTTTTTTACGTTGAATACAGGTAATATATTTTTCAGTAAAATATATCAAATTCACATTTACGATACATATTTTTAATATATTATCGAATAAATAATATAAATATATATAATAAAATAAAAAATGGCCACATTTTAAAAAAATAATTTTTTAGCAATTTTGTTGAATAATACACTACGTATTTTTTACATAATATACTCATTTCATGTTTTACTAATTATGCTTGTGAGGAGTGGTTTTTTTTGGAGTGTCCATAATCCATGTGCAACTATCACTTAAATACATATTACGTATAATTAACCATTCAAATTTCATGCTATGTTGCAATTTGGAAGCTACGCTTTGCGATGGCCCTTTGCCAGACTTTTTCAAAGGCATTATCGTCATTTACATTTGGTTTTTTTCAGTCAAAATAGTTTCTAAGATTAACATAACTCTTTTACTTTAGTTCATGACAATGATAAAGGTGATCCCTCTAATTTGTCCACCCTAAGTCATTTGAGATGAATTTTCATTTTGCCCCTCAACTTAACGGAAAAGTTGATGAAGCTAAAGAAAAAGACAACCAGTGCAACAAAGATATAAATCGAGGATGAAATAAATTATTAGTAGAGCTTAGAGACAAAAACTAAACTTGTGATATAGTTAAAGGACCTTTACTACAATTTAGCTTTTATTTTATATAATTGAAGCAGAAACAATTAATGATAACATTTGGGTGTAAAGAGAAGTTTAGATAATTGGTTAGGTTTTTTATTAGGATAGATTAAGAACTAATGCTGGGTCTAAAGTGATAATTATAACTAAATAAAATAGAATGTGGGTGTAGAGAATAAATTGTGTAAAGATACAAACATTGGATTTGAATTAAATAAATACGTCATGGAACTTGCGCTTGACTATTCAAAGTTATCAATTAAAGAAATTATGTAAATTAATCACTTTTGTGTAGGATTTGTTTATAAATTTAAGTTCTCCAACTTTTTGAACCACCGGTTTGTTATGTTGTCAATAATTTGTTTACCATATTATAAACGCATTTGCTGTTGATTATGCGTGGCAAACTTATCTCACACATGTTGCTGACTGTTTTAATTACAAAATATAATAAAATTAACGTGAAGTTTACATAAAGAATTTATGTAATGAATGATGTCCGTTATTAATGCCCAACTGATATGTTTTCTAATATGATTTTATATTTTTCACGCGCTTGCAATGCGTTAAAAAATATATAATACTTAGTTGTTCACGTATTAGATAAACATTCTTATTGACAATGATAATATTAGTAAACACACAATATATAAAAAAAAAGTTGTTATTCCCATCTCAATGTCTTATCTTCCCACCCATCTTTTTATGAATTTTTTAATTACAAATTTGTCAATTTGTAAAATGACTAATAAGGACATTAGTTACCCCCTTTTGCATAACTTTTTTTTTTTTTTTTTTATAAAAAAAAAAGAAAGTTTGGGCGTGATAACTCTCATGCTATGTTTAGACAATTTGTCTCCCTTTAACAACAGGAACAACGCCACTTACTTTTTACAGTTATGTTAAAATTCATTGTCTTGTACTTATGTTTGATGTAAAAAACTACGAGACCACTTGCTTCCTTGTTGCTAACTTTTTTATCCTCCCAATTCCCTCCACCATATAAAATGCCACATTGCCCGCATCACCACCATGGCGACCAGCCATCTTCTTCCTTTCGTTAGCTTTTCTGCTACGTTTTTGGGTAAGCAAAAGTTCTACTCAACGACTTCTACAAAAAATAATAAAAGAATTAGTTGCTTTCAATATCCTACAACTTCATGTGTTTAATCTACCTCACTTTTTTGGTAGTGCAAACGGTGTGAAATGTATATAACATGATATTTTGTTGTGAAGAACTCGTGTTGGCCAACATATGCAGATTCTTAAACCCTAACTTTGATACAAAATCGCTGTTTTCGATCAATATTCAAGGATCAAGAATCCAAAGATATGTCTCCAGTTCATGCCGATCATGCTTCACAAACTGGGAATACAACAACTCAAGAGACAGTCGTTTTTGAAATCGGAGAAGACTCCGATTTTCTGAGGTTACTGGACAGGCCTAGACCAGTAAGTGTGGAGAAGAAGAGATCCTTCGGTGAAAGGTCGTTCAGCGAGTTGTCCAATATAGGGTCTCCTTGTAGAAGATCCAGTTTTCTGGGGAGTCCTAGACTGAACTATGAGTCGCATCCCGTGGTTTCCGATGCCTGGGAAACCCTGCGGCGCTCTGTCGTGCACTTCCGAGGCCAGCCTGTTGGAACCCTCGCCGCTGTCGACCATTCTGTCGAAGAACTTAACTATGATCAGGTAAACTTTTAATCAAAAATACAACTGAGGAACACTAAACCGACTTGAAGCCGTATATCCATATTTTGTAGCCAGTTCCTTTTGTGCTTACTTTCCTCGAATTAACGTTACAAATTTATTTAATGTATAGGTGTTTGTTAGAGATTTTGTGCCAAGCGCATTGGCATTTTTGATGAATGGAGAGGAGGAGATAGTGAAGAACTTTCTTTTGAAAACACTTCGCCTCCAATCGTTGGAGAAAATTGTGGACCAGTTCAAGCTAGGAGAAGGTGTCATGCCGGCGAGCTTCAAAGTGCTCCATGACCCCGTAAGAAACTTCGAAACCATAACAGCGGATTTCGGAGAGAGCGCAATTGGAAGAGTAGCTCCGGTTGATTCTGGATTTTGGTGGATAATATTGCTTCGCGCTTACACAAAGTCTACCGGGGACACTTCGGTCTCCGAAATGCCCGAATGCCAAAACGGCATTCGCCTCATCCTGGATCTTTGCCTCTCGGAAGGATTTGATACTTTCCCTACTCTGCTCTGTGCTGATGGTTGCTGTATGATTGATCGCAGAATGGTTAGTTTATTTGCGCATTTTATCAAACACCTTCAGTGTACTAATTGCTTCCATATCATTGTCGATAACACGTCAAAATATGACAAATATACAATTTGCAGGGTGTGTATGGATATCCAATCGAAATTCAAGCACTGTTCTTCATGGCATTACGATGCGCTCTGGTTCTGCTCAAGCAAGACAACTGCGGCAAAGAATTCGTGAAGCGCATAACCGACCGCCTCCACGCCCTGAGCTACCACTTGCGCAGCTACTTCTGGCTGGACCTGAAGCAGCTCAACGACATCTACCGCTACAAGACGGAGGAGTACTCGCACACGGCGGTAAACAAGTTCAACGTCATGCCGGATTCGCTGCCCGATTGGGTGTTCGATTTCATGCCGAGTCGCGGCGGTTACTTCATCGGCAACGTGAGCCCGGCCAGGATGGATTTCCGGTGGTTCTGTTTGGGCAATTGCGTGGCGATTTTATCGTCGTTGGCTACGCCGGAGCAGGCGTCGGCGATCATGGATCTTATTGAGTCACGGTGGGAAGAGTTGGTCGGAGAAATGCCGTTGAAGATTTGCTATCCGGCAATAGAAAGTCATGAGTGGAGGATTGTTACAGGCTGTGATCCAAAGAATACTAGATGGAGTTACCACAATGGAGGCTCTTGGCCAGGTAAACTTATGCCTATAAAGTACTCGCTCATTGGCGTTTTGTTCAAATATTTTTATTTAGAACACGTAAAATGTTTTGGGAAATGAAATTTGTGTGAAAACATGTTATGTTAATTAATGAATTTGTGACGGTCGCAGTACTGCTGTGGCTGTTAACGGCAGCATGCATAAAGACCGGACGGCCCCAGATTGCAAGGCGTGCGATCGAGCTGGCGGAGAGCCGGTTGTCGAAAGATGGGTGGCCGGAGTACTATGATGGGAAGCTAGGGAGGTACATGGGGAAGCAGGCACGGAAGTACCAGACGTGGTCGATAGCGGGGTACTTGGTGGCGAAGATGATGCTGGAAGACCCGTCTCATTTGGGCATGATAGCATTGGAGGAGGACGAGCAAATGAAACCCCTTATTAAAAGATCTGCTTCATGGACCTCCTAATTTCTATCATTTTTCTTGCCAAATGTATGCAAATGCGTGTTACAATATTGTATGCATGCAGGCACTTTTGGCCATGTTAATTTGGGTGAGAAAGTGGAACTTTAAGCATCTAGCGTTTAAACACCTTTTATAGTTTATACTCTTCTTTGGAAAAAAAAAAAAAAAAAAAAAAAAAACTGAATACAGTTGGTTATCAAATGATTTCTTAATTTTAATTTTTTAATTTGATAGCTTAACTTATAAATGATTGACAACTTCTATATAAAATCCCATAAAATCACAAGTTCAAATTTCATAACTTTTTTTGGTCGAAGGTAAGCGTCCGCCTTCATGTTTTCCTTTGCTTTGCCTTTGTTCGAATTTCTAACCTAGAAGGACAAAAAAAGGTTTAGGGGAAAGATATGAAAAAATATATCATTTATTCTACTTAAATTATGACACTTGAAGTACTGTTTAACAGTCATGGATCATCATCAAAAGTTTTTTTTTTTTTTTTTTTTCCCCGAACAATCAAATGAAGTTTTGCAAGAAGAAAAGTAAGAGAGAGACTTGCAATGAGATGTTAAGTCTAAACTCTAAAGTCTCATTTAGTAGGCTGAATGAGATGGGTTATGTTCAATTAAATTGGACTTGTAACCCAGCCAATATTTGTTATGTCTAAATGTAATTTGAATTAGACAACACAAGATAGGTTATGAGTTCAAAATATGGTGTGTTATGTAACTCACCTTCACACACGATTACAAGTCTGTTTTACGCTAGGCGTTGTTTCTCTCAGTTCAACGCTCACGCTTCACCTTCTTCTCCATTGATGATATCTTCGTCCACACCATCTCTCTCTCTTCCTAGATCGGGACCATCGATGTTATCGGGCTTTGGTGGTGGATCTGATAGCTTCACCAAAGCTTCCTACAGGCTTAATTAGCTTCTCAATTCTAACCTATTCTGTCTTCACTAGGGCTAGTACAGTCAAATCTCATCCAATCCAATCCTATCCTGCAAGTGGCATCCATACGATTCAGGACTTTTGTGATGAAAGCCTTCAAAAGCCTCCCTTATTTGCATACTTTGGACATAACTCAACCAATGAGATTGGAGTTCAAATTGCTTAACTGAACTCTCTCTGAGAGAGGGGGTACGTTGAAATTCTTAACTGAACTCTCCCACGGCTACCGCATGCGTGTCATGCGTGTCAGAAAAGTCCATGGGCTTGTTGGACAGCAAACTTGAGAAGGCCTAAGATTTTGTACCCAAAAGGCCTCAGAAAAGTCCAGTTGTTTTTACTTTCTACCTTGTACCCAAAAGGCCCAAGATTTTGCAGCATAAAAAGTGCTTTTATTATAGTCACGACCAAAAGGAAAAAGTGCTTTTGTCGTGTGCTGCCGGTCGCCAATAATAGCTAGTTTCATGAGTGAGATTCTACTTTCCAGCTTCAGATTTTAGCTCATGAAATATCAGAAACCACAGGCTGCTCATGCAATTGAAAACTACAGGAACAGGACAATTGTAATTAGCTAATCAAATTGTTAATCAAGTTCCGGAACGATGGCCCCAATCAAATTGTCTTTTGGCGAGATTGCAAAGTGAGCAGATTACAGCTGTTGCGCGACTTATTCAGTCCTCCTCCAGGCTACAGCTGTGTGGTCTCATTCATTTGAGATAAGGCATAGGCTTAAAGTTTGCACCAAGCGACAACTACACCTTTCTCGAAGTGCACGTGCGTTAGCTATACGTTACATGATGAGTGAAATAGTGATATTAGAATCACGACAATTACAATCAAAGTTCTTATACCTTACACTCTCACTAAACATAATTTGTACATAAGTAACACAACACAATTTCACGTTTTATAGATGTATTGCTCTTACATTGATTACATTAATTTTTTTAGTATGAACTATATTCTATACTAATTTATACTAAAGAGGAGGGAAGAGGTTTGAATTCGGAGAGCAGTGGGTTAAAGAAGAAGACCCTAATCAACATAAAAAGTCCTAACTGCCAGGGCAATCCACCGCTTACAATACATAAACTAAACTAGTTGATATTTGGTTAATGCGTTAGGATTCCAGGACACACATTGGCACACGTTTTTGTAGCTACAATTTCGTAACTTTTTATAAGGATTCAAAATGTCCATATATATAATTCATCATTCAAATAACATCCTTGCAAAAAATAGACAAATTGAAAACCATTATGACATCCATTTGTAACTAAGAAAATGGACGAATACGATTCTTCAAACAAATACTAATTTTAATCCAAGGGTCATATGTCTGTAGATTTGAATCATTTTTTAAAGAGATGTCTGAAATAATACATAAAAGATAGACGGTTAGACCGTTGAAATAAACCAAAAATAAGCCCCACAAAACATGTGTCAAAAAATATATATCTCCAGATCATAACCTTCTGTTAATTATTGGTTTGCTTGGCAAACACTGTTTAGTGGATTAATAAGGTAGCTAGTTAACCCTAGAAATAAAATGATTAGACATAGGATGACGATGATTGGGTCCAAAACTACCAATAATCCATTGCTAACCACTTCATTAGTGGCATTTGGTTCGGTATTCCACTTCATACATACCTACCTATATAATATAGTAATGTATATATATAAATATGAACATGGATTTTCTTCGGATCTAGTTGTCCTAATTCACATAGTCAAATCATCTGGATCATTAAAATTTGATCAAACTGCTACAAATAGGGGTCCACTTTAAAAGTTATAATAATTTTAACCGTTAGATCAAATTTAAATGACTCGAATTATTTAACTAAGTAAACTATGACAACTGGATCCGCGAAGGATCCATGTCCTATAAATGTATAAGTTGGCCAGAAGGCTCCATTATCCATCCCATCATATTATACCATACTATCAAGCTACCAAACAGATTAGTTTATGACAAAAAAAACAGATTAGTTTATGACAAAAAAACGCTGCATTCGACCCCATATGTACCTCAACGGGGGATGTGATTGATGCTTAATTAATTAACATTTTCTGGTCTTTGATTTTAGAAGGCCTGTCCGCCCAGCCAACATAAACAAAAAAGTTCCATGCATGGCCTAAATAAATATCAATCCATTTCTATTTATGGGATTTTTCTTTATTTAATTACCTTAATTTACAACTATTAATCTCAGCCACTTGATTTTGAAGCAGTGCATATAGTTATCAACCCAAGAGTTTTGTGTTTTCTTTTTTGTGCATGCCTGAAATTCATAAGACGATCCTTACTGACTATGTATTGTAAAATTATATACGAGAGTTTCAAATTCTAAACCAAAACAATCTTTACTTTTGAGTTAACTTTAATGATTTTCATTCTGGTATTCGATTACATCAAGAGATTTGTATTGAAATCAAAATTAGAAAATGAAGAATTGATTGATTGCCATGTCTATGAAGGCTCCATACTTAACAGCTAGCTAGCTAGATTCACTAGCTGTTTTATATGCGTAACAGAGTACAATAAGTCCAACTTGATCCTTTATCTTCAGTCCTCGAGACTACGTGTGGTGTGTGTCTATTTATCCATCTAATTAGGCGCTTTCGTTCCACCTACATACGCGACAACGAAAGAAGAAAAAAATAAAACAAAAACTCATCACTTTTCGACGTGCATGAAAACCATGAGCTACTAAAGCCTAAGGCCACTTGGAAGTTCATCCCCACAAATTAAAGCAATACAAAACAAGCAAAAATTACGAGAAATTTTTTATTGTGACAGAAACACGAATGGTACATCATGTGTTTTTATGTAAGTGATGAGAAATTTTATTTTTTAAGTTATTAATTTTTTAACACACATATCCTACCATTATATAGTGACACGTGGTGTACCACCTCGTGTGTCGGTCATCCTGAAAAATCTCTAAAAAAATGTGAGAAACTTTTAGTTGTGACGGAAATACAATTGGTACATCACGTGTTTTAATAGAAGTGGTGGGAAATTCTGCCACACGTACCCACCAGCTGGCAAATCCTGTCCTATAAATAAATAGGGAAACCATGCAAATGCAAACCACAAAGAAGTACCTCTATCATTAAGCTTAGTTTCAATTAGGTTTGAAACGAATATAATTAAGGGAATAATTATATCTCGCTAATCAGCCATGGCTGCCATCTCAAAATCATCCAGGGCTGTGATTGTTTCACTGCTTCTCGTTTCCCTTCTTGTTTTCAATCTCGTTGAAGCTGATGAGAAGGTAATTATTTATTAAGTTCTCGCTTATAATTATAATTAACTAGCTACTTTATTATTTGCTAGCTTCATCTTTTGTTTTTCATGTTTTACAAGCTAAGCTTCAAGGTGGTATATGCATGTTTTATGCTTTGATTTTGCAGGTAAACACAAATCCAGGATCAGAACAGAGTTCTCTCTCAAGAAAATAGGTAATTAATTACGTACATATATATATTATTGTTTAATTTTAATATGATTTGGTATATATATAGTACCATAGTGTTTGATTAAATGTAAATATATGTGTAGACTGTGGCGGGGCATGCAGTGCTCGCTGTCGTTTATCATCTAGGCCTAATCTATGCAAGAGAGCATGCGGGACTTGCTGCCAGCGTTGCAACTGTGTTCCTCCGGGTACCGCCGGCAATCAAGAGGCCTGCCCGTGCTACGCCAGCCTCACTACCCACGGCGGCAGACGCAAGTGCCCTTGAATCAATCCTCTGTTTTGAAAACTCAAACAAGCTTGCTCATATTAGGGCATGCAGGTGCTATGGGAATTGAAGGTGCTCATGCCTTCAGATATATAAATAATGTGTTTTAAAATAAATATAAATGCCCCTTTGTGTAATTAAAGCTACAGAAATTGCTTGTATTAATGTTATTGTTCTGGAGTGTTGGGAGTCCTGTGACATTGAGCTAGTGATGTAATAGTGACTTTTTTTTTCTTCCTGTTTTACCTGTAATCAATATTTTTCTTTGCGTGTTCAATAAATCTCTGTACTCACGAATTCAATGATCATGCAATTTTCACAAATTCGTACTTTGCTCTATTTAAGTGTCATCTGACTTTATATAAGTACGTACGAGTTTCAACATACATGCAATCATCTTTGGAAGAGTGATCTGATTGACTAACTATCCAGGTGATTACGCAGTTTCTCCTCCATAAGCCTGAGAGAATAATTAGATGCCGATTGATCATGAGGATTGAGTTGTTCATAAGGGAAAACTTGGACCATAATCTCTGACAAGTCAATGCAATTGAAGTTGAAATTGACGTGCCTACTTTACTCAAGACTGAAAAGCATAAATTATATCATGGGCCTTATTTGTAATGATCCAGAGCCCAATCCAGCCCATTTTGCAAAATTTACAAGCTGAAACTGAAAGTTGTATGTGCCAAAACCCTAACGACAAACGTCTGAAACGTCTGGATTATGATGCAACGCACGAAATTCTTAGTCATACAGATACAGTGCTTTGTTACTTAACTAGGATTTTACCAAATTATGTCCTGGTTTAAGTTAACTAAGCAGTCTACCAACTCTTAAACTGTCTCCTTTTATCCGTCTTTTATACACTTACGTTTATTCATGCATGCGTACTTGAACAATTTATCTACACGTACATTGAACTCATTAAATATGATTGTTAAATTTTTCACATTTATGGGTTTTAAAATTTTCACATTTATGGGTTTATAGGTCTGAAAATTGAATACATATGGTCAATTTCACTAGCAGTAGATGCCAAAAACATTAAAGATATATCCATTCACTAATTAAAGTTAATTTCATAGAATTTAGACGTGATAATTCAAATTTATAAAAATAAAACTGTAATTTTCGCCAAAAGTATGTAACTTTCTAAACTTTATTTACATAGTGGAGCACTTTTTGTCATCGATGTATCACTGAATTAAATGACCTCCATGTCCCATGAACCTCATGAAACTTTTCTATAAACACCACACCAGTTCTCAGTTCTAACCGTACGGCGCCTCCGAGAGATTGAGTATATACAAATACCCCGTGGCCAAAATGATGTTGAAGGTTCTAATCACTCACGTTCTCGCTTTTCTTCTCGTTCTCCAGCTCGCCGCTAATTCCAATGAAAAGGTAAGTACTTAAACTACTTAATCCTTGTTCTGTTTTTTTTTTTTTTTTTTTTTTTTAGAAAAATTAATGAAAAAAACTTGAAAACTTTGAATTTCAACGATAAAGACAAAATAAAGGGTAAAGTGAATCGTACCAGAATTGACTTTTTAGTATAAAAATGTAATTTTTCGTTAACTATGTCAAAAATTTCATACATATGCTGATGTGGCAAATATTTAAGTCTTACAAATTTAATAAAATATTGCCACGTGGATATTTTTATTTATTTATTTTCACAAAGTAGCTCATTGTAAATACTAAGTCCATTAACTTGAATGCTACAGAAAAGTCGGTGTTTTATTGAAGGCCCAATGGGCCAGAACAAATACACATTTCTCTCCAATTTTGGGGACCAATGATAATCAGGTCCAAACAACACATGCAAATGTTTATTCGACTTTGGTAAATGTGGACGCCCAACATATGGGAAATAACAAACACCATATTTTAAGCATGAGTGGTGAGATCCAACATGTCTCTGGGTTTTGACGCTATTCACGTTACCCGATATCGAATAAACACCACTTTTCCCGGTTTCTTAACAATCTGGAACCTATGGAATCCTGGATTGCATTGCACCAATTACATTTGCCTCAAATTATTTCAAATAGAGACGTTAAAGTGACAGTAACTTAAAACAGTTATACAATGTCATGTGAATAATCGATAATCTTATACGTCTGGAATACTAATGCGGAGTCTCTTTATTATGTGAAAAAAATTTAGCTAAAGGCCTTCTTTAGTAATTGCCCGGTAAAGAGCGAGCCACGCAACAAACGTGACTCTCTCCCTCTGCCGCTTCAAGTTCCAGAGAATGAAACCTACTGTATAAACCCCAAACCCCCCACTAACCAACCAATTAATCGCCGAGTTTCCAACTCCTCTCTCTCCCTCCTCGTCCTCGTGACTCCCAAAGCAACTGCTCTTCTCTCTCTAGAATTGGACATATTATATCTTCCCCTGCAGCTGCATGCACATCCGCAGATTTTAGTGTCACTCAGTCAGACGCTCACAGATGCACACGTTTTGTACTAAAAATTCCCACCCTTCGCCCACGCGCCCATCAGGAGCGTGCACACAAGTCGCCCTGCATTCTGCAATCTACTATTCCACTCTTCCTTCCTGACTTCCGTTGTGTTGCGTTTTGCACGCGCACTATAAGCGTACGTATTTGTAGAGAGTACCGTAGAGAATACATATACGTACGTTGGGTGAGAAAAGAGAATCGTTGGGTGTGGGAACAGGGAGATACATAATATAACCCATGGATGTGCTGCAAACAAAGAAAGAGAAGCACAGTCGTTTCGTACGGAGAACTTTCTGATGCTGCCACGAGGAAGAGTAACAACCGTCGGATTCAAGAAATTTGGGTTCCACACTGACGGCAGGAGAAGGCGAGCGCGGCGGAGGTGAAGTGGTAGGGCAGGTGGTGGAGGTGGGAGGTTTGTCTGATGTAGGATGCCACGCGGGATATAAAGTTGTCCGATCCATCAGAAGATGGTGTGTGATCTATCGGCTGCGAGGGGACCACAGACTGATAGAGAGAGTGTTACCGTGGATGGTGGAATGACGTGAGGTGGGAGGGAGAAGAAGGAGAAAAGCTTCGGTCTTTCCGTCTTTTCGGAAGCATTTTTGTGGTTTCTGGGTTCTGCGTTTGGCTTTCTGCTTTTCTTCTCTCTTGCTTTCTCTCTGGTTTTCCAAAATTCAAGCTTCAATTTTTAAAGCTGGCTGGGCTCCTTCAGTGTCAACTTTTCCCATAAGTGCTTTTGGGAAGCTGATGAATTCAATGAATGGGTTCGGATCATAAATAAAGAGAGAAATTGTTGGATTTAATTTGGTGGGTTGGGTGGAAGAAAATTGGGTTTCCAATCGAATCGGCAGCATTAATTGTTTTCCCATTTAATTTTCAATAATTTTAATGCGATCTAACTCTCCTCTCTCCCCAATCCACATTATTTTCACGGGTCTCTCAGTCGCAGAGAAGACCCTTTTTCTTCCTTTTCTCTTCACCCTTACGTCTCTCTCTCTCTCTCTCTCTCTCTCTCACGAAGAAGAACCTGATTCTCTGGGCACGAGTGGGGGAACGGAAGTGATTTACATTTCAGTGGCTTTTTTAACAAATCGCTTTGCCCTTGATCGCTTTTGCTTTTTGTCTTATCTTCTCCTCCTCCTCCTCCTCTCTGAATCTCCTCTGTTTTGCTTCTGCTTATTTTCTGAGCTCTTTTCACTCCCTCAGAAAAAGAAAAAAAAAACGAGAGAGATATCTGGCAAACGATCGAAGCAACTAATAAATCGACGATTTTCTCTTCCTTTGGAAAAAAAAACATATAAAAAAATAACCCAAACCCCACTCTTTCGGTTCTGGTTCCGGCGACCTTTTCGTTTCGCTAAATAGCTAGCAATACTCGCAAAAATACACAAAAAGCTCTCTCTATCCTCTCGCTCTCTCTCTCTCTCTCTCTCTCTCTCTCTCTCTCTCTACACGTTGTTCTCGCTCACTTTCTTCTTCAACACCTTTGCCTCCTCCTCATTACCCCAATCCAGCATCTGGGTTCCGTTGTCTTTTCGTTTTCCTCACCTGAGTTTCTCCCATTTCATCGTATCTGCGATCCAAGTTTGAAGATTTCAGAGAGCTGAGCTCAAAATTTGCAGAGAGACGAAGGATCTGTTTCTCGAGCTCGATCAGACGGTCCAGAATCCTTCAAAATTCCAGATGTTAGTACCACCTGCCACCAAGCATCGACACGTGAGACGTGGAGGAGGAGCCACTCGCTTCAAGCAATCTTCTGGACCCAACAACGACACCAAGCTCTTCACTTGTAAAATTTTAAAATCCCAAAAATATTTCACCGTTTTCGAATTTTGGAATTTTCTCAGCTGAGAAAATCCAAAAAACGGCCGAGAAAATTCCAAAAACGCTTCATGGGTACGTGTCGTTATCTGTGTAGCTTTTTGATAAAAGCCTTGCAGATAATGCCTGCCTCCTTCCCTTATAATTATCACCACTATTTTTCTCTGAGTAGTTGGTTCGTTTATTTTATTCTTCTGAAATTTTGAAGGTTTGGATGGTGGTGGGGACTTCGTGCTCTCTGGAAAATCAACGAAGAAAGAGAGGCTCAGAAAATTAAGTGCTCTTGGTACTGCAAAAACGACGAGCTTTCGAGACTGCGAAATGGGTTGCAACGTGTCTGACAGAGACGATGAGCTCCCCAGTAAGAGATTTAAGCTTCCCAGAAAGGTTTGCTTACTTCTGTCGATTACCCAAATCTTTGATTCGTGTTTTATTCTTCTGTTTTTAATTCTCCTTTCTTTTTTTTTTTCCAGTTTTTTTATGATTGCAATGGCGTTGATCATGCCTCTGTTCCACGGAAGCTGCGATCAGGTATGTGGGTTTGAATTAACAGTGCGAAATTTTGCTCGTTTATTTTTGTTTTTAATTTCAATGCTAAATTTTCCTTTTTGAGTTAATTATATTTTTATTTAATTATTTGGGATTTGATTTGTTTGGTGGGTCTTCTGGGGAGTTTCTCGAGTTTGTTTTTCTTTGGTTTAGATTTAATTCTGGATTAGAGGTGAAGCAAAACTGAAGCTTTTGGCATTTTTCTTCCTTTTTCGGGAAGCAAGGTTTCGTCAGTTTTTTTCCCAACTTTAATTCAATTTAATATGATGCTTCCACTTTTATTAAATTATTTATTATATTTGGGTCTGAGATTTAGCCCTCCTTTTGTTTCTGTAGTTTTAACTTTTCCAAAAGAGATACTTTAATGGCTTTCAATGATTCGGGTCCCTTTCGGATTATAGGCAATTTAAAAAAATAAAATAAAATGAAACAGTTCCTGTCATATTCTGTTGATGAAGTATGGTTTGAAATTGTTTATACCCTTGCAGCAATGAAGAAGCGCAACCGTGAATCCGCATCTCCGTCCCCGTCTTTACCAGATGCAAAGAAGGTGAACCATACAATGAGTGGGATCGAACTTATGAATAAAGACGGCGGCTCAGAAATCACAAAAGATGAGGAAGAAGTTGTGGAGACCTTGTATGCTTTGGCTGGACTGTTCCCCAGGAACGACGTAAATGATAATAGTACAGTAGACATTGAATCATTAGATGCAAATCCTTCAGGTTTGCCAGGGTCAAAGGAGAGTTTGACATCTGCATTTGAAGGTTTGATTCGTTGTTCGCTTCTCATAAATCTTCTTTTTCTTAAATATATACCATTGTGCCCGACTGTTAATTTATGTGGTAGTATTGGTTTCTGCAGATGGAAAAGAGAAATTGGGTTCATATTGCCCCTTGAGAGCTACCAAGGCCGCCGATCCATCAAATGTAGAAAGATTAGGAAAAGAAACTGATCAAGTTGATCGTTTGAACGAACCCAGTAGCCAACATGAGCCTGAATTGCCTAACAGCAGGAAATCATGTATAAGTTCAGATAATTCCATTCCTCAAAATCTGAATGTTTCGTCATTGTCAGTGAAAGTTGAGGGGTGCAATGAAAAACCTGCTACAGGCAATGCTGACAACTTTTGCAAATCTGATATAAGCCTGGATAGTCGGTGGGTAGTTCTTCAACTTAATTCTGGCTTCCGTCCCTTTCTATTCTATTTCATTGTGTGTATGTGTGTCCACGTATTTGTTTCGTTTTTGAACATTATCATCTGTCTAATCTCCCAGCAGGTTAAAGCAGCCTGTGCAAGAGTTGTTCTCGGTTCCTGAGAGAAAACCAGTAACTGCACTGGAGTTGGTAAGCATTAACTCATCAAATCTAAGTCAAATATCCATTTGGTGAGATCGGTCTGATTTTAAGATTTGGATTACTCTTCAGGGCACAACTATTAGAGGTCAAGTTGAACTGCATGATACGGATCAGGAAGCCAAGAAAAATGGTAGTTCTTGTTTACTGAAAAGTCTTCTTCACTATTGGCTGTAATTTCACTTTCACTTGTGAAAAGCGTGTTTTAATATAGCATTGCGTATCAATTTCTTAAAGATTGTATAATCTTTGTTTTTTTTTTCTTCTAAGGTCCAGTATTGTGGCCTGGCTTGTCTTCAAGTGTGTCTCTTGGTGCTAGCAATGATAGTCCATCATCATTGTCACAGTAATTATCTTCATTCCTTGTTAAATTTTCTAGATAAGTTTATTTCTCTGTATTTTTCACGTTCCTCATGCTTTTTAGCTATTATTCAAGGTCTCCTGCTGCTAAAATTCCGCACTGGCTGGATGCTGCCTTGTCTACCTCGAGAGCTTCTGTCCAAAATAGTTCGTCTTTTGGAAAGGTGAAGAGAGGGCTTTCAGTTTTCAAATGATGCCATAGTATGATTATCAGCTATTTTAACATCTCAATATGCGCCACTCTTTTCTTCTCAAATTTCTATACCATGCGAAGCTTCTGATTGAGGGTATGGTGGACTGTCAACTATACAGGTTACTACTGTTCTCAATGGTAGAAGGTTGTGTAAGAAGTGCGCAGCTCATGTTTACATAAGTCACTTGATTCAGGCTTTACAAAACTCCGAGTGTAAGAATAAGTTACAGCTACAGCCTAATCAAATGAGACCACATGAAGGATTAAAACAGGTGGCTCTTCTGGGAGTTAATGTCTATGCTAATGCAAACAATGGTTCAAATGGGATTGTTGCTACTAGTAGCATCGATATTTCTAGTTCTGAAAAAAATTCAGCCGAAGCTAAGAACGGTACACTGCAGCAGACGAAGCTCCATCAAGATCAGCCACAGTTTGCTATGGGATCTCGAGCATACGCTTCACCAAAGCAGGTAAAGCTTAGTGTTGTAATTGCTATTGGTTCATTGCAGAGTTTTGATGATATTCTCACTGCCCTCGTTTCTTGCAGAGTTTTGATTTCCTGTCACTGTCAGCTGGAGGTGGTGGCTCAGAAACTAATAATAGTTTTAGCAGAGCTAGAAAGGGGATGGAGGCATCATCACAATCCCAAGGCCCGTATATTCATCCTCTCATGCAACGTCACACACTCATTCCTTTCTCTTTGCCCCAGTCTCAGTACAGCTCTTCTGCTCACCCTAACAATCCTTCAGTGTCTCAGCAGGTTTTTCCAATCTCCTTCAATTGTTTTCGTTTTATTCCATTTCTTCTGTGAAGCTTAGATTCATTTAATAGAACCAAGATTTGGTCTAATATACGTAACGGAAAGTTGAGAGGAACCTGATCAACTTTGACTCTAAATAGTAAGACCTTTTACTATTATAGACCTATAATAATAATGCTGAATATAAACTACTGAATGCTAAGTACTAAATTTAGGAAATAATACTTAAATGTAGGCCCAGATGCAGCTACCTCCATATCATGGCAACCCATTTGGTCCTCAAGCAAGTCCCACAGCATCGACGAAGCAGCAACCTCAACAGCAACATCTACAGCTCCAACAGCATCAGCAGCATCAGCAGAGGCTTTGGGCCGCTCACTTAGCTGCTAATTACAGGCCAGTGGGAACTTCGGCGCCGGCAGTTCATTTTCCCAGTTGGCAAAATGGAAGGCAGGATTCGATGTTGATTCCATGCAGCCAAGGCCTTATGTCTCCATCCCCGTCAACGCTTGAACTTGTTGGTCCCAAATACGCACCACTGTCTCCACAACAGCAGCAGCTAATGGCTGTTACTTCATCTTTTCCTCCCGGTAGGGTAAAACGACAAGAACACAATCTACCTTCTGTGTACGAGGAGTCTGGAGGTGGATTTCGTTCTGGAAGTGCATTGCCACTGCAGTTGCTCTGCAGCGAGCACCTCTAATAATTTCTATTGGGAAGTAGCTGGTTCGTAAATTATTTCATTCTTTCTTCTGTTCAGAAGCGGGGGACTTGCTGCTTAACCTTATCGTGACTCAATAAAAGATGAACATAATGTATAAATGATCACCCGGCATTCCGGCCATGTCTTGATAAGCTGAGGGATTCGGTTGGTAGGAAAAATGCCCTAGACTATTAGGCTGCAAAGGTTTTGTAGTAATATTTTCACGAACATGTTGGAGGCACATTTTTCATCTTTAACAAAGAAGATAATAGTAAATTAGTAATGTTTCTGCTCTACAAAGTACTCACTCTGTATGTCCTTTTGAAACTCACTCCCCTTGGAGCTCGAATTTGGCTCGCGTTCGGAAAATGGCTTCTTCTGTACCAAATCGTAACAGGAGCCAACAATTTGAATGATTTGGAGGCACGCCCACTAGGCAAGTTTGGGCTCTTTGCGTAGAGCACTGGTTTCTAGGGCACTCGGTTTTGGTATTTTTAGTGTTATTTGGTCTCTTTGCGTGGGGCACTTGGTTTTGTACAATGTTGTCTTGCATGACAAGGACTTGATTTGATTTCAGAGCTATCCAAAGCATATTTCTTTGCCGATCCGCAGTATCGCATTGTCAATCACACAACGTGAGGATATCTCAAATCAGTAACGCATTGTCGATTACTCAACTTCATGCTTTCTCCATTTTTGAGCAGCTAGGAAGTATCCCTTAAAATTTTCAAATGGATTTCACCCGAATACGTCCAGCTTATATATACTTCCACGGGCTTAAGCATCGCTTTGTTACATTACCGTTGGCCCGCGCAACAGGATAGGAGCTCTCACTTTAGCAAGCAAAGCCTACATAACATGATCCCTGTTCCAAGCAATGTCAAGGAACTATGATTTGTCTGCTAACTTGCACATACCCATTGCTCCATGTAAGCTACAAAAGTGCCTATCTAGAAACAGAAGTACTGAAAAACAGACTCAGTGGTCCTGTATATGCCTTCAATTATATGAACGTGCATTTCAAACACAAATGCCAAAATGGGGGAAAAGCCGGGTACAAAGGATATATGAAAAAGAGAAACCTTCTAGTTCAATTACGGTTTATTACACGAGTGGAATTCACACAAGGAATGGCGATACAAGAATTGACTGAAACGATCCGCAGAAACAAAGAACCAATACTGCAATCCTAAAAACTTGTCACCCACATGATAATCTTCACTCTAGTTTTTCGAGTTCCCCCATTCTCTCTATTATTGCCTGCAAGCACAACACAAGATTCATGAAACCAGACAGCTTCGACGTCTTATATTTGCAATGCAGATAACATTTACCAAATTCAGACCACCAATGATTACATAACATCAGAATAAACACGAAGTGGCACAAAAGTAAGGTAATTTGGTTTCTTGGTGGTCTTACCTTCTTGCTTGTTTCTTGGAGCTCTCCAGCAAGAATGAACTCATCTAGTATCAGATAGACCTTTGATAAACGAAAATGAAAAACATTAATCAGTAAGTTAACAAACAACCACACCCGTATATAGCCACATGCGGAGATGAAACTAATACGACTGCAACACAAGCTATTAACAACTCTAGGTACTGTCGTCTACCATGCATCCTGGCTTGGTTAAAACCTAACATTAATCAACGGTAACGTTGAAGGAGAAAACAATGGCTAGTAGTATGGCTTATTCATTCTTCATATAGATAGACTACTCTTACCGCTATCCAAGGTAAGTTTCGAATACAATTAGCGTGGGGTGACTAATAACGACTCATTCACTAAACACAAAAGCAAATAATCACATCAAGCGAAAGCGAGAACACGCAACAACGGACCTTATGAAAGTTAAAGACCAAATCGAGCTCACAAACATTGCTGAAAAAATGATCCAAAATTTCGACGAACAGATGAATGCATTCCAAGTATGCCAGCTCATTGTCAGTTATATCAACACACAGTGAGAAAAACAATCCTGCATATCTCCTGTATATAACCTTGTGTGTACGGAACTGCAAATTAATTCAGAAAATTCAATCTTTGGTTTAACCAGCTTATTAAAGAAAATTTTCCAAAAACAAAAGCAAATTAAATTACAAACCTCGACGAAATTTGTGAACTTGGGATCTCTGTTGACCACCAAACGATGAACCTATTATTTACCATCGAATTCAAAAACCCTAGAAATGTCAAAACTTGTCGCACAAATTACAATTAAAAATTAAAACTTAATGAAATATGAGGATCATACCTCGTATTCGACCTTGTGCTTCTCGGAATCCTCGAGAGGAACGTAGTACTTGGCTAACCGGGTCTTTCCCTGCCGGTTCTGTAGCAGTATGAATCGGATCTACCATACGAATTGGATCGGGTCAGATTTTGAAATCGAATCAATAACACTGAAATGGTTAGAGAGGAGTACCATTGTCGAAGCAAAACTGGAGAAATTAACAGCAGCGGAACCCCAAAACTTCGGGACGAAAGCTACCAACTTCCCTTTTCTTTTTTGGTTTCGTTGCGCGATGTCGTCTCGGAGTTCCAGTGGGTCACGGGGCGGGTAAGAGAAAGTGGAAGATAAAAAACGGTGTGCTTAACTTGGGTAGGGGAGACTTGTCTCCGTTGATGGTCTTGGTCAACAGAAGTATCTAACGGTTAATTTGAACTCTTGTGTAACATTGAAATACCTTCACATAATTTAAATGATTTATTCGTAGAACTCTTGAGTTTTGTCGTCGTTCTATTTTAGAATTGGACAATAATTGATTAATAACTCATAAAATGGATGGAAAAAAAATTACATAGAACTCTTGGTTTTGTTGCTGGTCCATTTTAAAACTGAACAATAACTTATTAACAACTCATTAAATGAATGATAAAAATAGAAATTCTGAGCCAACCGTTAATTCGACGCTCAGTAAATATTCTATATCTTGGAGGCTCAAAACAATTACTATAGACAAAAATTCTTGCTAGTTACTTCATTAGGTTTTTCGGATATCCAAAAAAGCGAATTTCGTAACAGATGTTATTACTAAATTTGATTGTGGGAGTCTAGATTGTGATAGGAATTAGGATTACCTTGTAATCCTTTTGTTTTATTTTCTCATAAAAAAGTGAACGACAAAATTGAACCTCACAAATCATGGTGCATTATGATCCAAGAAATTGTACAAGCTACTGCTCACGTTACAACTTTGAGGTGAATCCTATATTCTCAATCTCTCATTCACTCCTTATCTTATTCTCCAAAACAATACCAAGTCCAACCAAATTACTCAAATTACTTACAACCCCTTCTCATCAGAGGCTAATTACATTCTACTATTACAAGTCTCAGCTCATATGTCATATCATATGTAACTGGAATTTGCAGCAGCCAAGAGAGCAGCCCCTATACCAGACCCGTCTTTCGAATGTTCAATCACCACATTCTTCGAAATCTCTGTCCCTAGAAGCTCTGTCACCGCCTCTTGTAAATACCTACGGTATTGTGGATAGTTTTCGTACAACCCTCCATCCATGGCCACAACAGTCCTCTTGCCAAATATGAGACCTTTTGAATCCTCCTCCATCTTTTGCAGTATCCCTACTATTCCTGCACCCACTAAGCGCCCGCCTCGCTTCACTATGGTGTCACATACATCCACCACAATCTTTCTTGCACTTAAACTGGACTCAACCTAACGAATTAGAGTAAGAAGGATTAATTAATGAGGGAAAGATATCGAAAAATGAAACTAGCTTTGGATCATACAATACAACATTAGGAAGTTTACCCCTGCTACATTGTATAGGATTGATCCAACGGCTTGAAGGTCATCAGATGCATCTTGCTGCATAGCACAAAGATCCGGAGTCCTAAAAACTCAGTTCATAACTTACTTCAGCATACGAAGAAATAAGGAACTCGATGTCAAGCTTATTTGAGGAAGCTTATATATGTTACCTGAGTAGAAAAGGTGTTGATAGTTTTTCTAGGACAGATTCACCAAACAAAGCATCTGCTTCACCCATCTTTACTAGTACTCTTCTTACAATTTCCCCGAGGTACATTCCAGAGATTGTTTTCTCAAAGATCTTCATATGAAATACGAACAACAAGTATAAGGTTACTAGCAAGAATAAGAAAACTAAAAATACAACCAATAGAAACGTAAAGCTTACCTGCTCACCGGGATTGATGCTAGCAGCATCCATATCTCTATCGAATTCCGTCAAAGGAAGACCATTTGAGAATGCTCCCCACTCAGTGTTGATAATCTGATCCAAATTTTGGGAAGATTGAGAAATAAATTTAAGCTAAGACGATAAAGAAAGGACAGGAGACAACTTTGGAGTCTTACACACCGTTCTGCCGGAAGAAGAAACCTGGCCCTGTAGTTTGGGAATAGCATCTACACGTTCAACATAGCAAGCGTTGGTACCAGTACCCAAAATGACAGCAACCATGACGTCATCGTCCCAATATCTTGCTCCAGCTAAAGTTCCTACAGCATCGTTAACCTAATACGCATTGAACTATATCAGATTGGCAGTTGTTCATCAAACGTTTTGCACGAGGATGCTAGCATAAAATGGGCATACCAGAGCAGACACACGCATATCGAGTCCTTTCCTTTCCATAGCCTCATTCAAACAAGCAACCACATCTCTTCCTGCCTGTAAATATTTTCACAAGATTATAACTATGATCACAGGAAGTTAACAAGTTTCCTATGAGATTCACTAAATCTCTTGATTATTATGTACTTTATTTAGACCTAAATCTCTTGTATAAATACGCGACTAAAGTACGCTACAAAATTCACTGAATGAGAATACAATGTTCATGTTTTTACACGATTATCCAATGAAGATCTCTAGAAAAATGAAGCAAAGAAGCAATGAAACGAAAAAGTAGAAATGCGTCAAAATTAAAGTACTAACCGTTCCAGAGACGGAAAAGCCTTTTGTCCACTTAATTAGTATGCCGGAATCAATGGAGGTCTGCTTCACAGGGAACGAAAATGTGAATCCAATTTCTCTTTTCGTACCAGTTGGAAGGTGGAATTTGCTACCCTCCTTTTGTGCAAACTTTGCCAAACCAGATGCAATAAAATCAAACAGTTCCTGCAGTGTGAACAATCAAAATTGCTTTAACTAATGTATGTAACAAAATGTGAGAAACTAACATTTAATTTTCTGTAAAATTACCTCTGAGGTGCCACACATGAGCTCCGGGGGGATGGAAACTTGGTCGAATTCGGTTGCAATCACGCGCTCATCTTTGCCGCCTAATTGTACTCTCAGCACCCTGAAGTTTGTCCCTCCAAGATCCAGTGCATAAAACAACCCCTCCTCATTCCTTCAAAAACATAAGCAAATTAACATAAGATTGCTATGTATTGCAACACTACACTCGTGGTCCCTGAGAAAGGACACCGGCAGCACACCGCTTTTCTTCTTCTACAAATGACAGTTTGACACATATAACGAAACAATTTCTTACAAGCGGACAAATGAAATTTTTTGTAAACTGTTAATGTCGTTGGCAAGTATGCAACTATTTTTATTTCACTAGTACAAGTGGAACTTAAAAATTACCCGCTTGGGAGGGAATCAACGTAGCTGAGTATCATCTTGAGGTCGCTGCCGCCGTCCACGGCGAGCCCGGCACGCATGTTGGAGGCCATCGAGTCTGCCACGTGGCGCAGGAGGGGCAGGGGAGTGGCACTGTCGTTGTGTAGCTTGGTCAACAGCGGAGAGAGGGAAACTGCAGCGGATCGGACGGCCATCCTGAAGCGAGGCATGGCCACCGTAGGTGATCGGCGCCGGAGGTAGAAAGATCCAACGGCTGGGGAAGTGGCAGCAGCTGACATTGTGTAGTACGGTGGGATCTACGAAAAGGAAAGAAGGGGGAATGTTGGTGTTGTATAAATTGGTCTTTATATCCGTGGATGGCAACTGGCAAAGTCCTCAACAGTTAACTAACCTAACAGCAACTGGTCTAAGTCGTTAAAACGCGATAATACTACTCTAAATTACATTAAAATTTTGACAGGATATACTATTTCAGCTACATTGAAGAAAGTCTGAACTTAAAATGTAATGTGTTGAAGAGAAAAATTTTAACCACCCAAACAATCAGTCACTTTTTAAACTCAAATTAGATCCGTTGATCAAATAGCATGATCAATGATATCTCTTTTAAACTTGAAATTAATATAATCCTCTTCTCATTAATTAGAATAATTTAGAAATAATTTAGATGGACGGATAAAACAATGTGGATTTGTGGATGCGACGCAAACAACGGTCTGTAGTTTGGTGGCGTTAGGTCGAAATCTAATTTGCTTGCAACATGTTTTTTCACATTGTTTTTTTGGTATATCCAGTCCTAATATGCTTACCGTGACTTGGACCGGCAGCATTTCTTTTTTATATGCTCTCCCGTTCCATTAAATATTAATTTTTGTAAAACACAAGGCAAAGGAAGAGGAAGCTGGCCGAGATTAAGATCTTATTAATTTGTTGTTATTGATTGATGATTCTTATCCTAATCCTTTTAATGATTCTCCTTTTGATATTATGAAATTTTTATTAACCTTCAATATTGATACTTTAGAACATGATTGTGACAAATTACTGTTCACGTGTGCCCTCTCATCTCTTCGTCGGTTGCTACAAGGGAGAAGGGATTTTACACGTTGTCCAAACAATTAATGCGATATCATGTGTTTTTTTAATTTTCACATGACGTGACTTCATTAATTCAGAATGTCACGGTAAAGTACTGAGATATGTAAAGCCTCACTGTTACTTGTGGATTGTGGATCTTGTGGGCAAGCCCAATACTAGTAGGGTTGGGTATGACTGGGCTGGGCCACGTTTGTATAAGACTCAGTAAGTCCCACGAGTGTGAAAAGGGTAACTTTGGAATTGGTGGAGTTTGTTCAGTTGGTGTGTGTGTTGGGGGTATTTGGCGAGGAGTCCCTCTCTATTGTCAAAGTCCACGAAGCCACCCATCCATCCACCGCCTTTCGCATTCACAGAAATCTAGTGAAGTGGACGCGAAGAAACGAATTCAACCTCCCCCACTCCTATATCCCTCTCTCTCTCCCTCAATCACTTGTAAGTTGTCAGTCTAACCAGCCATACCAACTCTCTCTCTTTCTCTCTCTCTCTCTCTCTCTCTCTCTCTCTCTAACTAGTAGTCGTCCAAATAAAAAGCACATTCTTGTTGCCACCTTTCATTCATCCAATCCTACGAGTGCAGCATTTTCCAAAGTGAACATGGAGAAAGAAGTAGGAGGAGGAGGAATGCAAGTGACGAGGACAAGGAGGGCAGAGATCGATACAAGGCAACCGTTCCGCTCCGTCAAAGAGGCAGTTGCGTTGTTCGGAGAAAAAGTTCTTGCCGGAGAGCTCTATGCCTCCCAGCTCAAACAGGTGCATCCTTCATCCATCCGTTATATAACTTATGTTCCCCTTAATTTACGTACCACTTTGATAATTGCATTAGGGTTGTCAGCTAGGTTAAATGTTACTTCTTGTACTAGCTAGCTTTGCTATCATGCAAGTTCTTTTGCTAAGATTTTTCGTAATTTGTACACATTTTAATCAAGGAAATTACACTTCTTCAATATTTTTGTATCGTATTGACATGTCGTATTGTAATTTATATTTGATTTCGTGCATCGAAAATTTCAACCTATTAGTTTTTGCTCTACAATATGATTTTGTAATATCTTTGTTGGTCCTGCTAGAAACTAGTCAATCATTTATGCTTTGCTTGTGGCTGAGTACAACTTGTCCTTAATTATCATGTCTGGTGGAATATATAAAGTTAAATAAACAAATAATTCTAGCACCATCGATCCTAGAATATGTATAGTTTGATATATTCTATATTTTAAGTGAAGAACACTAAACCATCACTAGGGCCTAATTCCTTATTGATCATCTTTATTAAGGAATCTGATCATCTTTATTAAGGTTTCTAATCTTCTTTGACTTTCATATCAAGAGATGCCAAGTTATATGCTATGCACTTGCACTGTCCCTTCTTTTATTTTAAATAAAAATTAACTAATGTTTATTTAGACTTTAGAGGGCCCACAAACAAGCAAAGCAAGCATCCATGACCCCTTTACTATTTGTTGCATTATCCAACTGTCAGTCCGACTTTCTTAAATTAAAGATATTCTTGAGTACGATTACTATTTGTTGCATTATCCAACTGTAAGTCCGACTCTCTTAAATTAGAGATATTCTTGAGTACGAACTTTCGTGTCACGTCATTCATGCGCAAAAAACATGTATAATGAGAAATTTCTCTCCAAATGCAGGATGATCACATTGTGTGTACTTAACATACAAGTGACATGACGTCAAAGTCTTTACACTAAAAATTTCTCCCCAAAATGTTTTACATATGTTTGATTTATAAAAAATTCTCAACTACGGGAACCATTTGATTTCTACGCTAATGGAATGGGTTCTTTTGTACGTGATCCATATAGATGCAGAACGAAGCAAATGAAAATAGGCATGGCCCCGCATTATCCAGAATTGGAACTGTGAGAGCAGAACTAGAGGACACAAAACAAAGCCTCCAAAAAGCCAGACAAGAAAGTGAGCTCATGGAAAACTGCCTCTCTTCTCTAAAACAGGAGCTCGAACGCACAAAGCGAGAGCTCCAGCAACTGAAGGAACGGGAGTATGAAAAACACTTCATCGAAACGGAGATTGAAGACGTTAGGATTGTCGACGAAGACTCGACCAAGTTTACAACCAAAACACAAGCATCTAGTGAGGAAGATGAAAGTTTTGAGTTCCAAAAGAAAAGATATGTGGCATTTGGAAATCCACCTTCCATGTCTCAAGTGATGATTGCACAAGGTGGTGTTCATGAAACATTGGAAAGACACCATTCTCTCACGAAAAAGAAGAAGAAGCCCATGATTCCTCTGATCGCCGGGATCTTTTCTAAGAAGAAAGGAAGCTCACAGGTTGCTTACGCTTGATGCAACTGCAACATACATGCACACATATGCTTCTTGGCTCCAAGAGGATTGTTCCAACTCTTTTCAACCCTTTTTTGTAAAAGTGTATTTTGTATCATTTTATGTTTCAGTTCTTTTAATCTATTATGTATATTTGGCTCTATATAAGATGAAACTGTAACGTTATATGTGGATTGATTATACCACGTGACTGTGTTTCAGTACCGTACAATAATTTCTCAATAAACAATACTTAATAAATCAGCGTCTTTCAATGGAGTACCTAATGAATTAGTGTGCTTGATACCCTTAAGGTGTTTTTCCATTTCTTTATCATTCTTCATTGAGAACCATTTTTAACTTTTTATTTTTTATTAATTTGAGGGTAATGCATCCTTTAGGCAATTGAATAGGTGCCCTAATGAAATGGGCTGAAAGCAATAATGGGCCATACAAATATAGGGCTGGAGCTGCTGGACTAGTACCAACCTAGTGATAGATGGACAGCCCGGAACAATATATTGCTTCGAGTCTTCGACATCCGACGACAAATAGGCACATCAAAAAAATTTCAATAAGGTTGTCTAATTAGAGTTGTTCTCAAACTAGATAGAGTCATCATAGAGTTCTCTTCTCAAATTGGCTAGAAACAACAGTCATTTTGCTTTCTAGGAAATTTTGTTCGAAATTAAACCCAGCTACAGGGAAAATAATACAATTAGAAATAATTTAAACAAAACCAATGCATGCATTAAGAAAATATGGGTATGCTTAGTAAAGGTTGTTTTAAGTTTCATGAATGTATTGGGGGATATATAGCGCAAGCAAACTGAAACAGTACGTTGTAGGTTCAAATCCCACAATCTAAGAGACATGAATAGCAAACAAATCAAATACTTTAACATGCAACTGGATAAGAACATTTACCCTTACACCAAAGTTTCATTACTTGTTATTTCCATGGGCTTGGGGCGAAAACAAAGATCACAAATTAATTATACGAAAAAATGAGGCAAATATTAAACACAAGTAGAAATTAACAATGTGATATTGTGATCGATGCATGCGAAATGATATCTATCAAACCATAACGTTGAATTCTCCATCATCCAAACTGCCCCCTTGGCCAGAAGAAGACTTATTAAAGAACTCGATGCAGTCAGCGATGGCCTCGTTATAATGCACGTGCGACGAGTAGTACGAACTGCATGAAGTCTTTGGAGGCTCAAATCTGTCACAGCTGCTGTTCCTTTGCCTGGAAGTGCTCGTAACTCCCGACGGAGATGTGCCGCGGGCTGATCGAGATGGGACAGTAAAAATAAGTTTCATTATTATCTTCCTGAAGCGATTGAAGATTTTCATCGCAGACAAGTTCAGCTTGGGAGGTTGATGATGTGGGTCTAAGTTTTGGCTATAGAGGGTTTCTCTTGACCTATTTGTACAATGAAGCTGTGGTTTCTTTGAATATTATGCAGCATTGTATTCTCTGTGTTTTTATCCTCCGGGAAATGAATGCTATCATGGGAGGGTGTCTGTCTTATAAATATAAAAAGGGGGGGGGAGAGAGATGAGGGTGTGAATTTCCATGGGGGTTGGTGGTATTCTATATATTTGTGAAATTTAAACTCTCTTAAGTCTCAAAGATGATGATGATGAGCATGCACATTCGGAGTATGCAATGGCGTTCTCATGTGCTCAAATCATTTGCATGGGCTTCACTTGTCCTCGTGAGATGAGATAACCTTGATTTATTAATCAAAACAAAAGCCCTTAATTATATATTATTAACCTTCAACTTAACTAAAACGCTGTTCAACCTAAGTGTCCACTTCTTGCTCATTCTGTTCAAAGTGAATAATTGGTTGAATACATAGATAGTTTTAGGAGGTGTGCATCCGTTTGAAACTCATTGGTCCTTCTTCATAAAACGCTTTTATGACCTAAAAATCACTTTTGAGATTTTACGCTAAATGTAGTCAAATAGCGATTTTAGTTGTCACAAAGCAGTCCCATACAAACTCTTAAAGTAGTAAACTAGTAAAATTGAAGTATTCTTAGTACTAAGTAGATGCTTGATTGCACTTATCCAAAGCCTAAGTAATCCTCAAATTAATGAGAAACAGCTAAATGATAATTTGATTCATGTTCATTAGTGAGAGCGAGAGATGCCAAAAATTTACCATTCATTTTCTAGCTATATATATTTGGTACCTGCTTGCCTGAGGAAAGCTAACCCTAATCATTGCCTTTCGATTAGTCAATTCAACACAAATAAAATCAAAAGATGCGAATCAGTTTCTAGCTCAAGTTCATATCCAGGTGGTCCAGACTCCAGACCCTATCAGTTTCTAGCATCGCAAATATACTCGATAGTGGAAATTAACACCAAAGGGTCCTGCAGAAATGAAAGAAACGAAGATAATCAATAATTGTTTATGGTTAAACAAAAAATGGAGTATATTATTGGGAAAAGATGATGAGCTTGTGAAGAGAGATGATTCAGAGAATGTTATGAAAAGTGGAGGGCCAGGGTTTGTTCTAATGATTTTTATACAGCATGATTGTGTCTAATTGGTACTTCTTCCTTAAAGTAAAGAAAAAGTATTAATCATGAACTAAGCACCTGTCCAAGGAACTTAATAACCAAACTAAGTGAAGTCATTCCATATTAAGAAAAAAAATTAGTTCCAAATACAACATCATAATTGTGTCTAATTGGTACTTTCTTTTATGACAAAAATATGTTTGTTTGGGCTCTAGGAGTCCGTTAGCAACTGAAACCCATAATATATAGGTGTTTATGGGCTCCGGTTGAAACGTATTTTTAGCCTGATAGCTGGCCATGAGAAAAATTTTGAAAATACATATTGGATGTCTAGTGCACTTGACAGGTTTCGGCCTCAGGCAGTGCGGTGAGATTTAATCTCAATGAAAATCCGAGTCGCATAAGCACATAGCTGATATTTTTTTTGTAAGAAGCACTTCATATGTTTTTATTTTTTGTAAGAAACGCTTCATATACTTTTATGATCAATAAATATTTTCTTCAAAAACATTTTCTGTAATTTTAAAAATGCTTTTACACGATCTATATATTCCTGAAATATGAGAATCAAACTATGTATAATCACATTGGAAGGCCTAATGAGTATTCTGGTTACAAATACTAATTAAACATCTGCTTCCTTACTATAGGAGGGAGTTTAGACCATCTCCAACCAAAGGTTCCAGAGGGCCGAAAATAGCCCAAAAATCGTCTTCAACTGAGAGTTAGGGCAAAAGGCTCGTGGGCCCCATAGGACAAAAAATGGTCAAGGGGCTAACCGGCTGGCCATCTTCAGCTAGCCAACCCGCTGGCTAGCCCCTTTTTTTTTTTTGGCCCCACGGGACAAAAAATGGTCAAGGGGCCAACCGGCTGGCCATCTTCAGCTAACCAGCCCGCCGGCTAGCCCCCTTTTTTTATTTTTTTTTATTTTTTTTTTTTTGTTCTTTTCCATTTGCCTAGCCCATTTTAGGGTTTAGGGTTTAGGATTTTTTTTTTTTGTCCCAGCCCACTTTTTTTTTTTTTCTAATTTTTTCTACACCATTTCTCACATATTTTTACCATTTCATACTATATTACCTCATTTTATTTCAATTCTTCCCTTGATTGGAAATGATTTTTTGTCATAGGGCTAAGTTTGGCTTATGACCCTCTGACCTCTCGGTTGGAGATGGTAAGAAATATGGCAATGCACTGTTCATTAAAATATTAATTTCTTGGAGGGCCAGAGGGCTAAAATTAGCCATCTGGTCCTCCTTCGATTGGAGATGATCTTACAATTTCAGTATGGACAGCCACTGACCTAAGATTAACATGTTTTTACGTGCAAGATTTGTCAGTAATCTCAACGGGGATTACATTAAACATGATTTTTGGGAGCCCCTAGGTACTTGTTTCCAATTATATAGACCATTCGCCATAACTATCTTATCTTATTTTAACCTTGCAATGAGAGATCACTGCGTTGATGTCATAAATTAATCGGCTTTTGCACAGTTCAATTTAAACACTCCAAACAATGAGAGTTAATAGTGATTGTGCACACCTCACGCATGACGCATGTGTATGCAATTATCATCCGTCAACTATATGCTTCACTCATGAAACGAGTTTATCATTACTGCATGACATTTCAATACAATAATATAATGTTATATATATATATTTCTCCACATAACATTGTATAATTCGACTGAAACGGTATAATAACAACGAATCTTATTCTAGCTACATAAGTTTCTAGATACACTAGTTTTAAATTGTCTAGCTTGCCTATTTGATAAAACAGTTTAACAAATACACTTGCAGTTGAGCAGTTGAACTAAAGCTGCTAAACCCATTAAGCAAATCTATAATCTAAACAAAAACAAAAATATAAGTTGGTCTCACCTCACTAGCACCACCATGTGAAAATGATACTGAAAAACATGTATATACATGGAACACACAAAAATTGGAAAGAAAAAAGAAAGAAAGAAAGAAGTAGAAGTTAGCAAAGTTGACCTAATTAGGCGATACAGCATGCCCGAAAAGAACTTCCTTCAACGGACAGGAAACCATTGTAAAAGTATGTTAAGTTAATCACTCATTATATTGGAAAGCGTTCAGATTTGCCATCATATATGATTGACTTGGTAACATCCCAACACACGTAAGTTTATTTACATATACTCACAATGACCAAGTCATGAGAGAACTTAAGCGACGACCTTAATCACGACTCTATAGCCTTGTAAATGACCACGAAACATGGGAGGATGGCCCTCGGATTATAAACAAGAAGTTCCTCGAGATTGGAATAGATTCCGGCGAATCCGGCTACAGAATCGTAGGAGCCAGCAGCAGCCGACAGTTGGGACAAGCCATCCTCCTCCGGCGGCCCACCGTCTGCAATGCGCCGCACCCTGCCAGCAATGACACGGCACACCAGCATTGCCCTGCGCCCGTCCGTACAATTCAACGAATCATGGGCCCTACCGCTGCTGGCGGTTGTCCGCACTCCCTTGCTCCCACCTTGATCACCTCCCGCCACGGCTTTGCCTTGAAAACCTTGACGGATGACCGTGCACACTCCACAGCCCGGTACGGAGCCACAAAGGCTGGACGAGCCACGTGCGCCGAGCGTGCACGAGATGCTGGCGCAGTGGAACCGCAGCAGCTCGTTCCCGTCTGCCGCGCACCTGGGGTCCTTTCGCGTGCTGCTCAGCGCACGGTTCTTCACTGCGTCTCTGCAGTCTTCGAACCGTTGGATCGTGCGCTGCGTGTTTTGAACCTTTAGTATCCGTTCGATCTTGCAGAACGGGATGTCTTTCTTGAGCCAGCTGGATTTGAAGATTATTTCCACGATGTTTCGGCCGGAATCTTCGACCCCCAGCTCCGATACTACACCATTAAAAAATTTAAAAATTATTATTTTTGCATCCATTTTTATATTATGTAATCCTTTTCAAATATAGTAAAACGGTTAACTCCATTTTACAGTCATAAAGTTTTAATGTTTGCATTTTACCCTACATGATATTTCAATTGTTCCGATTTAACTTCTTGGTCAATTTGTCTAATTAGACATTAAATGATGATGTGTATTTACTCGCATTTTTAGCATATGTTGATCATCAATTTCATAAAAAAATTAAAAAGTAAAAGTACTAAACATTAAAATTGACGGTTAATGAGTGCTTAAAATATGAACCAAGCCTATGTTACATTTAATTAGACAGTAAAATTGACAGAGGTTAAATTGTTCGCGAAACACTAAAAAACCTATCTTGTCACTGGGGTCGTGAACTCGTGATGATTGAGTTTTGACATGGCAAGTGGGGGTATATAATGTTAAGAAAAGCAACATGATCTTACTATTCATATGACGTTGAATCTAATAACACAACGTTATATACTGTTTAGAACATTGTCTTGTAAAGAGGGAAACTACAGTAACGGGGAAACAAATAAGATCGTGTCCCAATTATTTAAGACAGGCCACCTTGCGAATCAGGATCATTTATTTGGTAGTGCATGGACAGCTGTAGCTCTGTACTCTTGGAAGTTGACTGCCTTTATAATTAGTTATATGCTAGATGCAAGAGCTGCGGTAAATTAAGTACTGTGCACAATTTTTTACGCATGCACGAAAAAAATATTATCTTTTGATTTTTTTCTCAATGTTTATCAACAAGATTATATTCTAAATCGCTCAATCTTACGGAAATTGAAATTCTAAATTAAGGACGAGAAGATATGCACATTATTTTGACTGACTCAGGACACAAGGTTCAAAATTAGCTTGTAAGATATATAAACAAAGTTTTAGCCAAAAAAG